TGTGGGTGCACAGACAATGCCGTTTCCCCAGTTTCAGACAAGAACCTGCATTGCCCAGCTGCGCCATGTGGAGGAGATGACATCATCCCTCGCCTCTCCATCTGCAAACAGGGCAAAGCCACCCAATCACGGTGCCCGGGAGGCGGGCCCTTCTGCTCACTCACCAGCAGAGGAGTGGGCTCCGGCAGCTGCCTCAGGGAACATGTCAGACTCAAAGGACTGGCCCATCACAGGCTGCATGGAAACAACTGGCTTTGAAACCAACGCCCTCATCAAAACCAAAGTTTACAGCACTGAAGCAGCAATGGAAGGGATTACAGGAGCACTGCAAGTAGACAGGCCTGATATTTCCTTTGGCTCTATCTTATCCTGACACTATAAACCCCAGGCAAGCCTGAAGGTAAACTTAGCAACCGTAACCAAAAACAAACAACTGAGGGCTGGTGTAATTTAACAGCGGTGGGGCTAGTTTACTTATAAGCGTGGCCTGCAAGTCCATCGAGTGACTGTCTGCAGCATCACATGGCTTTGCAATCTGGGATCGCGAAAGTCTGGGTTGAATATCTGAGTCTGTTGCCCTCCGCACCCTACCCTGAATAATTTCACTCCAGAGCACCGCTCCATACTTTTGACCTGCTCCATGCTGTTACGCTAAAGCGAGGAATGTGTAACACGCTGGAGAAGGTTTAACTGTAAAGCTGGAATGGAAAAGGCACTGGAGCTGAAGCTCAGCAACCCCCACCCCTCTTCAGGCTTCCCAAGTTCCCAAAATACCCTGCCTTGGCGTCCTGCACCCACCGTGAGCCTGCAGCTCCTGCCCCCTGACCCCAGACAAGATGACACGATCCCGGCTGGAGGCAAAACGCACGATGAGGATCACTGACCAGCAGCTGGGGAACAGCACAGCTGAGGAATGGACAGTGGCTGGACCCTCTGCGGTCATTTCTGGGACTTACAGAAAAGTCCTTCAGTGTTTCTACGCTATGCACATGACAAACATTCTCAGAGCGTGCAGCAGAGGGGTTCAATAAAGCCAGCATCCCCTTCCCCCCCACTGTGATGTAACAAAAGTGGCTTAAAATTTGGAAAGATCACCCAGCGTCTGCATTCTGACCCACGGTGAGGCGCTTCTCGCCAATCCACTGCAGAGCAGCTCAGCGATTGCACCAGTAACTAGCACTGCCCGGAATAAGCTTCTCCTCTCTCAGCTCACCGCTACTCTTACAGAACCAGAGGGCACCCATCGCGTGCTGCTCACCCACGTGCACGACTGGGGCTAATTAACGAC